CCAATGTACCTACAGTATGTAGGCCAAGTACTTTTTTAGGACAGAGCATACCTCCTAATGATCAGACTGGCTCGTTGACTGTATAACGATCTGGAATTCATTTGCCACCCTCATTACAAAGCATGTTGTAATGCCTCATAATGCTAATTTTGAAATGTGACAATTATGTAAGAATAATGCATTGCTTACGCACTCCACTGCACTGCAAGTGAAGTGTTACTAAAACAAAAGATTACTGGCCTGTGTGTAATTGATATGAAATAAAAATGGATGGAATGAATTTCCAGACGAAGCATGGAACATTAAGTTAGTGTATATCAATTGTTTTAGAAATAAAAACTGTCTTTATCCATGGCCGGGGGGAATAGGCTTTCAGCTACAGAGTGAAGAAATATCCATATCCATCAAACAAACTAAATATGGGTCAGATGCAACTAGCATTGACAAATTCATTATTACCTGGGAAAAAAAATCTAATTCAAGTCCTTCAGCTTTCAGACTGATGCCTGATTAAAAAGGCAGGCTGAATGCGTAACGTCTGAATCCAATTATTTTTGGAAAGCTGCACCTTGAATGTTATATTCACAAGAAAAATAAATCCAACCATTTTGATTCAGATATGTGATCAGGTGAGAAAAAAGGAAAGAAGTTTGAACAAACATCAGTCAATACAAGAATGGTTCAATTGCTTTGATAAAATACACTGAGGGGGTTCCTGCTGACAAAAAGGGAATCATTGGAGATAGATTTAAGAGAACAATCCTAATTGGTCTTTGAGAGAAGTATTTTGTACATTTGTATTTTGGTCTTTAACAAAAAGACTCAATAAAACACCTCAAGTTTTAGATCCTCAGTTACAATGCCAGGTTTAACAGGCAGGTGATTGAAGTTAATTGTCTTGTATTCTGCTGTAAGGCTGCACAATTAATCAAAATGTTATCGAAAGAGCAACACAGACAAATGCAAACGCAATATTTGGTAAAGGCAACATATGTGAGGATATCTGATTCAAGTATTGTTGCACTGCAGAGAAGTCCCAGCCTATAAAAACAAATCTAGAGGGGGGGGGGAGATACTCCGCCTGGAGGGAATTTGGGGACTTTGGCCATTGCAGACCATTAACATGCACAACAACCTATATGACACTCTAGAAAAAGTAGTATACTGTAATAGTAGTCTTTAAATAAAACATCCTTGTATGGTACAGATCCTAATTGTAATTCATTTGTTAAAGTACCCTTCAAAATTGAAAATCATATCGCAATTGCATTATCACTTTCAACAATCGCAATGAGTTACTTGTCCTAATCTTCCAGCCCTACAACGCTGCTTTGTAAACAACCCATAAAGAAAAGTAAGCACAGAACATATAGCTCTGCTATTTATTCAAACAGATGCAGTCAAGCTGTCATTGTTTTCCTCGCTCTACCCACTGGATCTGTCTCCAACATGCACTCTAGTTTGGAGAAGAAACCGCCTGACTTAAGAACAAAAACAATCGCGTTTACTTCACACTTAGGGAGCTGCGGTTTGCAGGAAAACAAACCCAAACAGAGCTTGATACCTTCGTTATAAATGGACCTGAGGTGCCACTGCCTCCAGCCACTAGGACAAGAGCTGAATCTGTGTTCAAATCAGATGAGTATCTATGCACCTGTTGTATGGGAACCTGCTCAACGTTTAGTGAGGTAAACAGCATTCATGTCAGACTAGCAGTCAATAGCTTCATCAGAGAGGTAAGAGATAAGGAGGGTTTCATTTGAAATCACCTCAGTAGTATTTATTGTTTTGTTGTGCTCCAGCAGTGGCAGGAAGTTACTTACATTTAAATGTGTTAGTCTGTCACTATGACAAGAAGTACATTTAGTTGAGGATGTTTTTGAAAAAGAGTGAATCTAATTAGGATCGATGTAGTTTTGCCGTGGAAAGTATTCAATCATTTCAGGAAATATCAGCCCACAGCTGACAAACTACTTAGACAAAGACATATGTTGACTATCATTGTTTTCCTGAGAAGTACCTTTGTCAAGCATGTATAGTACATAAAAACACATTTTATGCAATTATTTAATTCAACAGTGAATAGGCTTTTTCAAAAGCTACCCTCCCACAGAACTGCTCAAGGATATGTTGCATACAGTACACGGGAATCTGTTTAATGGTATACAAACACCACAACAGTAACATGGCAAACTCTGCTCATTGACTGACTGAGTCCGCCCACACAGAACAAGTAGAATACGGTATCAATACAGAGGAACACATAAGAACCAATTCTATATAACACACCTGGGAACAGCGGATGTATTTTATATAACGCAATCATTTTAAAACTAGTATTGATCAATATTATATAAATAAAACCCAAATCTAGGTTGGAAAGAAGCCAATACATTCATAAATAAATAGATATATAAATAGACATAAATACCAACATAAACATTACTAGAAATGCTTATTTTTAAAGATGAATATTTTCCAGGAGGGAAAATATGAACAGGAAGCAGATTTGCTTTTATCAACAAATACAAATCAGATTTTGGGCAAACAGCGGCAGACTGTGATTATATGGGAACCTCAAACTAGAAGATGCATATACATTTTGGCATTATGAGGATTCAACCCTTCCCTGGATAAACAGGGAGTTCAAATGAACAGGAACAACTCAACCAAGAAAGCATAGAAGAAGAAATCCATGAACGATATACCAAGCAGAAAATAACATTCCAGCGATTGAACATGGCAACAAAGGAAAGCTTCATAACACGCATGTACATCGTCTTGATTGCTTTGTGAACGCTCACTTGTAAGGGTGGGGGCGATGTAGGTTTTTGGTCTTGGCTCTCTTTGAAAGTCCGATCCGGAGGGGCCTGCTGCATGTTCTCAGGGGCTCCAGTCTCTTGTATTGCTCGGGCTGTCCTGCAAACATCAAATATGAGCTAAGCGTGTCAAGTGGTGGAAGACAGTGTTGATGACCCAAGTGCAGGTACACAGAATCACTCTGTAGAAAATACATGTGGATAATCACAAGAAAGAAAAGACACAAGGGTAGCAGGTGAAAAGAATCAGACAATCAAAGAGGTGGGAAAACACAGAGACAGGAAGTAAAAACAGACATAACACAGGAGGTGTTTCTCAATGTCGAGGAAGGCTGCTCCAGAGCCACTATTTCAAGGATGCTACGTCATCGAGTGCCGCCGAAGGACTGTTCCAATGTCCAGGATGCTTGGAATTCTACCGAGGCTGCACATGTGTAGACTCCGCGGTCTTAAAATCCCCACAATGCTTTGACCAATTTCCAAATCTTTGGCGGAAATCGCACTCTATTTAAGGCGGGGCCTCGCATATGACGCACACCTGTTAGCCTGTTCCACAATTCTTCGTTTTCCGAGGCTAGGAAGGATTCTTGCATCGCTTCAAAAGGATCTGACTCGGAGGGACTTGTCCTACCAAGGAAGCGCCCTCGACATTGAGAAACACTTTTCAATATAAAACAGGAAACAGTGCCACACCATAACAAAGCGTGATTTCAATCAGGAAGACTACTTTCTCACTCCTCCAGCTGCCTGTAATAAGCCAATCATGGGCGTCCGCTCTTTTAGATAACCAACTTCATTTTGCAATGCCTTTGAACAGCCAATCATTGTGCTGCTGTTAAACTTTGAATACGTTCGCTTCTCTCCTGCTATCAGCAAGCTTCAAAAGTCCACTCCTCGCCAAAACCAGATCATCAGTGTCCTTTTCATCCCATCTACATTACAACAAGTGTTGGGTTCTATTCTACTTACGTCTAAGCCTCCCCTTTCAAATATATGACACATCACGATGGGGTCTAATCACCAAAATCTATTTGCATGTCTATCATTTTTTGCTCAATCAAAATAAGTCTCTCCTGATGGAAATAATCTAGGACTGTGAGCTTGCAATTAATCAGGAAACCTTATTGCTGAATGTTTGCAATGGATTGCATGGCATTGAGGAGGCAGAGAGCGCGTAGAAATGAGCACGATCTACATGTGATGAACTAACTCTAGATCACTGGATATCCGTGAGAACTGTGACTACCTCGGTGTAACAGCACAACTATAATTGTTCGCTTTGTGATTAAAAACGGAGGAAGAACACTATGCGCCAGTTTCTTAAGGTTGCACAGTGGTGGGAGATTGCAGTGAGGACACTACTGTAGGAACAGATAGTGCTGGCAGTACGAGATATTATGCCCTGTGTAGTGCACATTACACAGAGGGGAATGTTACAGTGGCTTTGTTCATGTTTTAAATGTCGTAACATTGTTGGACTTCAGGCCAATAACCTGTGATTAATCCTTCTTGATTATGTTTAATCTCAGATTTTTACTGTGATACATTTTTCATTCGATTGACAGCATTCAAATAAACACAATATATAGCAGTCCTGTGTGCCTGGTGCCCTGCATTGAGCATTTGTTTGGGCCCCAAAGCCCCACAGAATATTCTGGCTCTTGGTTTCTGTTAGAGGTTGTAAAGAACTAATGGTGATGGTTTATTTTCCTTTCCAAAGCTGACAAGATTAACATAGTCCTTCTCAATGTGCGGAGACAGAAGGCATGCTATTAGACTTGATTTATTTCCTCATTCTGACAAGGTGAACACATCTCATCTCCTGGTACACAGGTTGTTAGCCTGATGCTCCTTTTAAACATTCAGAGGACAGCACACTTAACTCCCAGCAGACACACTGGGGTTTATAATGCAGCAGAGAGCAGCTGCTATGCTTGCTCACATACTTTTGTTTTTCTTTCTTTTACGTTCTCAGTTTACTTTTATGTCACAATATGGTCAAAATACCATACTCTGAAAAGTCACTACAATGATTCATAGAATGGTCAACTAACAATATGGAAGGACATTAAAAACCTTTCATATTATTTTTAAAGTGGCCTTTCTTACAGAATCTTGAAACCTACATTCTATCAATAAAATGCTCAGGGTCTTTTGTCTGCAACTACAATAACAACTCACTGTGGCTCAGTTGATCCACGAGCGGCTGACACCCGAAGGACGGGGACCACATTATCTTTTTCTGCTCCATCTCCCGGGTGTCTGAAAAATAAACACATTGACGGTTAGAGACAGCGAGACCTGCTAAGTCTGTCTTTTTTATTTCTCTGTTTATCCTTAAACAACATTCATGCCATTGTTTTCGTTCAATGGCAGCTAATTAAGGGAAATTAATATTTGAACATTAATGACAGGAAGCTGAGTCAATATGAAAAGACAAATCAATAAAAGCAATTGTATTTCCTCAATGAATTAACCTAGCTGCCCTTTTGAAAGCCTGTCACCCGACAGTCTGGAAAATAAACGCGGTACTGCAAACACTGGAACAAAAGAACACTTAGCTCTAATTAAAGCAATCTCAACCACCGTTTTTCAGACTTTAATTGAATTGTTTATTTTTGCTTCAAAGAAGTTTTCCGGTCGACCGAACACATTTGAATTAGTTTCACCCTTGTTACGAACACTGATTACTGGGACGCTTATTTTCTTCCCAAAGACATAATACACTTTTTTTGGCTGACTTTAATCTTTTGAAAAAGAAAACAACAAACCTTTCTGTTTCTCTGCAGGGCGCATGGATGTTTCCTGGCCCAGGTGGCTGCCGAGGGGCACCTCCTGCTCCCCGCCCCAGGGGCCAGAGGGACGAGAAACCACTGCATCACCTCCACACATCTCCAGGCTGCCGGCTTCATCCGCATCATCTGAACAGCATGCAACACACAGCTAATCATTAGTATGGGAGCAGTGTGTGATGCTTGAGGTTTCTCTGGCATTTTGTTTCCACATTATTGTGGTGTCAAAAAAGACAAATCAAAAAACTGACGGTCTGTTCTCTATCCTATTGTCATGTTTTATCTGAAATGTGTAATTATTCAAAGAGGACTTTGATTTCTAACTTTTGCTGAATTGACAGTGTTGTTTATTACAATTAGTTCTGTGCTTAAAATGTGACTTGACTCTATTGAAAATGTAAAGAATTGTTAACATTTTAAAAGAAATGTTTACAATATTATTAAAAAGTAAAATCCTATGGTAAAAAATATTTGCCTTGAGTTACATTCAAATATTATTATATTTCCAGTAGCAAGCAAAAAGTTGTGGTTTTGTCGGGGGTTACTGGATGCATGATTTTGTTAGCAGTCACTTCCTGGAGGGTTGTTGTGACCATGAGGTTTCCAAGCAACCAGATAAGACTCTCGGCATCAAAGCAAATAAGAGTTTTCCCCCCCAGAAAAGTCAAAATATTGTTTTAAGATTTGCTCACAGAGCTACAGTTCTACTTCAGTTTCAGTATCTATTGCACTGTAGGAAACAAATAATATGTTTACTTAAATCATCAAACTATTGTGTTTATAATCGATATACTTATTTATCTGTTTGTATTTGTGAGTAAAGCATTTGAAAGGCAGCAACCGACTCGCAAAGAAAATGATGTTGGGAATGTCATATGATGTTTGTACTGAACACATTGTGCATATTAATCAAATATGAGGTCAACAATAAATAATACAGCGGCACTTGTAATTAAACATGGATAGCCATCAATCAGAATGGTCAAAGAAAAGTTTCTTTTGGTGTTTACAGCTGTACCTCATAACTGATGTCAATACTACTGGAACCAGTCCTTTGTTATAATATGGATGCATTCATTGTGTTCTGCTTGCAGTTACCTGATGATGTGTCTCTATAGCTTCCTCCTTCTGGGCTTCTGAGATGTTCTTCTTTGCAGATTGAAGTGTCATCCTTCAGGGCTTCAGTTATATCTATAACCTGCTCAGGTGATGATGCTCTGCTCTCACTCGCCAAATCACCCAGACTGATTTCAAAATACAAGTTCAACTCTCGCAACACCATGTCAAACTGTTTTTTCATCTCAAACTTTTCGTCGTTCACATCGGAGGCTAGACTGTCGCTCTTGGAGGGAACAGGGAAGGGCGTTGATCGTGAGTCTAGCTCAACCCCGAAGCACTCAAAGGAATTCAAGGATGATTCACAGTTAGGCTGTTGCTCTGGACGACCAATAGCAATGACATGGGCTGATGATGCTGGGATACATTTTGGGAATTGATTATAACTGGTATCTTGACTTAAAAATCCCTTTGCCATGTTCTCAGTGTGACATTCAAATACATCCATCTCCTTCTCCTCCTCTTCTGGTACCTCCTCCTGCTCATTGCTCTCTGCCTCTGGCATAGAGTGTTGAAGTTGTTGCTGCCCGTCTAGGCTTGTAAGGAGAGGGCTGTTGCTCAGGCCATCCTCATATTCAAGTGAGAGCTGGATCTTTTCGAAAGTGTCAAAGCCCCCCGGCACACGGTCGTTGAGAGTTAAGGCAGATGGCACAGGGGAAAATCTGTCAGTAGCGTTTAGGGCTGTGGGGTTGCTGTCAGCATTTTGTAAATGGTGTAATTTATGAGGACTTGGCACAACTGCATCGCTTGTTGGGGGGGAAGTGAAAGCCGAAAGGTCCTCTTTATTTTCAAGCATGAATGTCTCAGCTCTGTGTTGGTAATCAGAGAAACAACTAAGCTTGTTTTCTTGTTTCTCGTCGATTTTGCTTGTTTTGTCCTCTGTACAATTACTGATGCATTCCTCAGTCATGTCTTCTTTCTGTTGTTGATCATGCTCAGATTTCTCTAATATCTCTAAATATTGCACATCAGTTTTAACACTTGCCTCTTCTCTTTCCTGTTCCTCTGTTTTCCCTTCCATTGTTGTTATCACAACATTGTATGAGTGATCAGAGAAGTATTCAACGTTATTTCCCAATTGCTCATCAAGGTGTGTGAATGTGTTGCCATGTTTACTTATATTACCCTCTGTCCAGTCGATGTATACCATGCAGTCACCAGTTGGTTCTTCAGTTGCGTGTTCTATGTGATTTTCTATTTTGTGCAGAAGATTTCCCTCCATGACTGGTGAGTTTTCAGTTCTTATTTCTTCTTTGAAACTTGTAATTCCTTCTCTTTCCTTCATCTCAGTTTCCCCATCCATTCTGGCCATTTCATCATTTGTTACAAAATATTCAACCTCCTGTGTCTTCGGACTGACAGGAAAACAGCTTGACTGATCCGGCTCTTTCATCTGATCTTCCTCAGTGTCATGGTTTTCTTGTGTTCCACCCCCTGCAGGAGGAGGATGGGCTGGCCTACATGGACTTCTGCAGGGGCTGGATTGCCGGTGACAGCTGCCTTCGTTGCCAGTCGTTCTGTGTGTTTCGTCTGTGGTGAGTAAACAAGCCTGTGGATCTGAGTGTGACTGCCATGAGATTTCTTTTTCATCTCTGCACTCTGTTCTGTTTTGGTGATTAAACTGGTCAGGAGCTGAAACCTCCTGTGACAGCCCGAGGTCACAACAGAGCGTAAGCTGTGTTTCCATCTCGCAGACTTTTTCCGATGCAAATAATTCCACATCTGCAGTGCTCTCTGAGTTTCGACGTTTCTCTTCAGCCTCCTTGTCAGTTTCAATCCAGATTGCAGGGTCAATTACACTGAAAGGGCTTGCCTCATTATCTCCTCCAGTAGGCCCTTGACTGATTCTTGCAGGCAATGGAGTGTCTGTTGTGTGATCAGCCGTTTCACTCCCGGCTTTCGCTATCATCTTGCCAGCAGCATGCTCTCCTTTAACCGCACAGAAGTCTTCGGCTTCGTGACTCACACTCTCAATTGCAATATTTGTGGCTAATACCACATCATAACAAACAATTGATCCTTCAGCACATTCAGCAGCAGAAGGGATGGAGCTCTTGCTCGTGGCATTCTCATTATCACTGCCTTTTGTTTCCTCCTCACAGACGGCAACATTTTCCTTATCACAGATATGCAATTGTAATATTTCTTCCTCATTTTTTACACTTTCTGCCAAGATCCCAGAGGGATGCTCTTCAGGGTAAGAGCAGAATAATTTAGAGTCTGTATAATCAGGGGAAGATGTTGCGCTGCAACCCTCTGCCTTTTCTTCAATGAGAAGGATATTCTCACTAAATCCGAGCTCACCCCTCTTCTGATTACTCTCAGATTGGCTCCATGTATCGCAGAAACCTGTGTCATGTGGCACATCTTCAACATTGCAATCAGACTGACATCTGACCCTCTCAACACTTGAACTGAAGGTGAATGCTTGGATTTGACTGACACTGTTTTGCACCTGTATCCCATCTTCGTCATTACTTGCTTGAAGACTGCAACCACCAGGGGGCTCGTCTTCAAGTGATTTCCCCAGCCGATTGCAATCAGGATGACTGGACGTTTCTTTTGAAGTGAAAGACTCTGCTAATGCCCCACCTGCATCATCTTCCATGTATACACTGAGTGTGTTAGTCTCAGAAACTGAACCCTGCTCATCCATCAAAAGAGGTTTGGAGCTTATTTCAGCAGAGATCACACAGACTTCAGATGATCCTGTATGTGCGTCGTCAGTGTGTGAAGTAGTCAACCTACTGATAGGGGTGACAGTCAATTGAGTGTCTTTAAAATCCCCACATTCTGCCATGGATTCTAGGCCCGTATTCTCCTGCAAGATAGTTGTTGATGATGGAGAGCTGATGGCTTTCCTAAAAGTCAGAAGCTCTGGGAAGTCAAACCTGCTCTTGCCACTGTGGTCGTTTGTCATCGTGCAATGTGTCCTTGGTCGCTTGGGGGAGGGAGGTGCAGTAAGCTCAATCTGGGTTTGTGGACTTATATCTTCTTCTGTGATTGTATCCATCTTCTCCAATTTACTGAACCTGAAATAGAAACAACTGGAGTGTGAACACTGCATCAAAAAGCCACACTGCTCAGATCAATAATTATCACTCTATCAAAAGAATGGAATCATGTCAATAATGTTTCCAATGCACTGCTTACTATTAGAAGATAACATTTCTAGAAAACCAATTCCACGGCTGAATCTAGTGATTCAAAATAGGCTGGTTAATGATGGTGTTGTAATCTTCAGCCTGTACTATAGTCCATGATTTGTCTGTATTAACATAATAGCCTATGTGCAAGTAATCCCACGGCAAACCACAACAACATAATATGCAGTCCGTGGATTTCCTATACCGCAGCAGATTGTTACACAGCATGATTCTGATTCACTGTGCAGAATACAGAGATGGCACTGTGGCACTGTCACTGCTCTGCTGCCTCTCTATTATAACACCCCAATCAGGAACTGCTGGGAATCCGTTTTTGACAATGCTATCTTTGTTACACACATTAGGCCATTTAAAAATCAAACGTGCTGACTTGATAGAAACTCGATAGAAAAAAAGCACAGGTGTTTCTTATCACATAGATGATAGATGTTTCAATAAAATGTCCCTGTGAGCCATGACTGTGTTTCTGTCAGCTGTTTAAATACTCTAGTCTAGTCAGTACTTTACAGTGTGAGATTTGTTGAGCTATTTTTGATATATCAAGCAATAAAGGATATCATAACAAAATAATAATACACAAAGCTCTCTCTTAAGACAAATAAATTGCAGTGTTAATGCAGTGTGGACTGATAAGTTTCACCAATGTTACTATGGGCAGCTATTGCTATCCTTAGATAAAGGTGTAAGATGTTCCTTTAGTTATCTAGCCTATATGCTAGATTTGAGCCAGCAAGAACAAGTGTACAAAATGACTGAAAAAACAACAGTATTTTAAGAAATGTATGAATTATATTTTTGAACAAAACAATTTCCATAACTTAAGCCACTAATTCGCCATTTAACGTTTGATAACCTAAAACAAATCATATGCAGCTAATGTTAGCATAAGCAAACCTTTTAAACTCAATAACGTAATTTGTAATTTCGGATATTAAAGATAACAGTCGCTGATATTTTAAGCTAGTAATATATTTTACTTAACATATATATTTTTAAGCTACTTACCTTCTAAATAAATCTATAATAGAGCTCAACATACCTAGCCAAGTATCCTGTTGTGGCTATCGTTAGTTTCTGGTCCTGACGTTTCCCCGGTGTCCTGTATGTGGCGCCAAACTGCTGCCGCGGAACAAAGAAGGACTCCCTTTACGTTAATTAATGGTTTAGCTAGCTAACATAGCCTTCTTGTATTGTCTCAGGTTAAATAAATTAGGAAAAGTTTATATATTGCTGGAATGTGCAGTAAAATCAGTTAACAAATAGTTCAATATAAGTGTCGAATATGAACACTAGTAGGCTATTTGTATTTGTTATTCCTGCTGCCTTTATTTGTAACTTATTGTTTGCGACATCATGCTAATGACATACGGTCTTTGGCTAATACTCAACCAAAAACAGGGAGCGAAAGAGACAGAGATGCACTCCCCTCCCTCTCTCTCTCTCTCTCTCTCTCTCTCTGTATCGGTCTCCTCCTCTCAGTACATCAGCACCAGTGTGTGTTTAGCAACATCATCCTACGGACCCGCACCGCTTACTTTCAGTCGAGACTGACTTTTGTCCCACAGCCCCATAGAATTAAACAAAACACTCGACAACATTATAAAGCTACTAGTGGCTCGACAGAAGAGCAGTTTCAGATCTTTTGAATCGCTTATTTTTTCCCGTCCTCGCAGGTTTCTTGGACCACTCCAGACATCAGACCAGACTTCTCCCGTTGACTCGGCACTCTCTCAAGGTAGGTTGGTTATTAAACTAGAACTCTTTCTGTGCTTGAAGAACATATAAACATAGTATTGCACATTGACATGCATGTTTCAACCTGCAGTGCGTCACCCTTTAGGCTAATTTATGGGTTAATTAGAGGACTAAAAATACGCAAATTACAATAACGACACAAAATTCAAAATTCAGCCTTTTATATATTGCCATATGCACGTTTTGCACGTAAATCTTGTCTGCATTGGATAAACATGGTTATCTCTTGCTCGGGTGACTAACTAGTAACTAATCATACACACATAGCCTACACACCAGGATTTAGATTCAACTACTAAAGTGTAAAGACTGGGGTACATTTGGATTGGTGACGTCTGATTTATGCAATTCATGCAGACTGTGAGAATTCTGTCGACTAAAATTGTGACTTTTGCGTGGGATGTCTGCTTGGCACGACGTGGTGTGATTCTGGTGTAGTTTGGCACTGGTGCTGATGTTGCAACAGGGTGTGTGTGTGTGTGTGTGTGTGTGTGTGTGTGTGTGTGTGTGTGTGTGTGTGTGTGTGTGTGTGTGTGTGTGTGTGTGTGTGTGTGTGTGTGTGTGTGTGTGTGTGTGTGTGTGTGTGTGTGTGTGTGTGTGTGTGTGTGTGTGTGTGTGTGTGTGCAGGTGGGGGTGTGGTATGTCCTTTAGCCCACATCATCCTCACAAGGAAGCCACTTTTTTGCAAATCAATCATCCACCAGCCTCTACTGTATGCTTGTTGTGCCCCCACCTCTCATACACACACAAACACACATTCATTCACATACACAACACACATTTCTAGACAATAAAGGCAGCAGGATTACACAGAAGTCTCCCAGATTTGCATGGATCAAACCCTCTAACTGCATTATTCCTATCTAATGTTGCTTCTCTTGGCTGGGGCTCTGCCTGCATCTCAAGGTCATCCCCTGTTTGTAAATGCTGGTGAAGGGACAGATATATATTAGCCATCCGCCCGGCTCGGGGGCAGGTCTGGCTGTAA